GCCTACCATATTTTCTTTTGGCAGTGTGTGCAGATGAGATGAAGACCTACATCCTGCCTCCCTCTTTCTTGGCCATCATTCCAAATGCTTCAGGAAAAAAAAAAAAAGATAAAATGGTTTGTTTCTCTTGAGCCAGCATTATGAAGTTGAAAGAGTTCTCATTTGGAACCACCAGATTGGATTTCAAGTCATAAAATAAAAATGTAGCAAAAATACAAAGATTTACTATCAATGCCAGAAAAGGATAACTGCCTTCCTAGTGATATTTTCATTAGCATTGCAGGGAAGTGCAGTCACCTTCTGTGTGCTCATAGCTCCCTGTTAAGGCACATGGCTCTGCCTTTGTGTTATCTAGAACTTTGAAGCTCTCTGACTACAACTGACTCAATTTCTTTCACTTTCACTGCAGTATGCTAGTTTCTGATCCCATTCTTTCCTTCTTTGTCACCATGTCAGAGTAACCTTGATTCCTCTGACTTCTACCTTCTTAGAGAAGGTAGAAATAAGAAATAAACAAGAAATAAACCCTTGAACTTGAGAGCTTCTTAAGAATTCTCCCACCTCACACTTTTCTTAATAAAATTCCAGAAACCTTTGTAGCTATATCTTCTACTAATGTACTATCTAAATCTGGTATCCATCCACACTATGATTTTGACCCTACTTGTTGTCACTTATTCTCATTTCAATGCTTTGCTTGAAGTTCTGATTTCTGCCCCTCAATTTCTCAAGGTTTATGTCATGTCACCTCCTGTCTGAAGCCCTCCCGTAAGCAATTTCTTCTGACCCACCAAAGAACTTAGTATGTACTTTTTTGATGGCTTATTTGTGTTCACTGTAGTATCATTATTTCATGCCCTTAATAGATTACAAATTGCTTAAGGCTCTCAATTTAATATATAGTAATCATTTATTAAAATCCAATCAATGTATTAATAACCTAAATGATCTCAAACAGTATCATCAAATTTTCATTCAACTGAATCAAATTCAGAGTTTGAATAGTTTTGGAGAAAGGTCAAGTATCAAATTGAATATGGGTGAAAAGAACCTGGACATCTATGGGTCAATATAGGAGATAGTAAAACATAAAATCCCCAGAACCATTGGCTGCTTCCATTGAAATAGCCAATAGTAGTTTGGCTGACACAGAGCGTTCAGTAAATATTGGTTGGATTAACAAAAACAAATGCTTAAAGTGGTCCTCAGGTTATATGTAAAATAGTGATATTTGGGTAGTTTAGGAAACTAATATAGAATTTTGAAGGGGTATCTAAGGCAACAGCAACTCCATAATTTGGGAGGGATAGAAGACTGTCCTTTGAGGTCTAGAATAAGTTATCATTTGAAACTTTCTTATGCTTCTTATCCTAAAGGAGTAAATTAAAGTAAAGATTTTGCAGGGGATTATCTATTTTTGGTGGAAGATTCAAAAGAGACCAAACAATCAATAAACCGATATCATTTCCACTGCAGGAGAATAAAACCAATAATGATTTTAGGTGACAGAAGTAAAATGATTGCTCTGGGGCTCTCCAATACATATATCTTCCAGACTTTTAGAAGGAACTTGGGCTTATTTTTTTCTTTAGGATAATAAAAGATAATAAAAGATAATAATAAAAGATTAAGAAGACAATATTAGCCATCAGAGTTTGAGGGCAATGGGACAACCATTATGCTTATATCCAGACATGTATGTCTGCATTAGCTCATTTAATTATGGAACAGCACTAAGAGAAAGACAATGAACATTCCAATCTTATAGAAGAGGCTAAAGTCACTGTACACTCAGAAAAAGTTTCACAGTGATTAAGCATGTACCAAGATTCAGAGCCAAGATGTGAACTAAGATTTTTCTGATTCCAAAGCCCGAGACCAACATTAAACACATGGAAGGGGATGGTGTAATGGCAACACTCCCCAAAGCAGAGACAATGAAATATGACTTCCGTTGGTGGACTTCAACCAGTGCATAGGAGCAAATGCCACTTAGCTCTTGATAAATTGACTATGTTAACCATCATCTGGAAGTTTCTGTGTCAAGTTTAATATTTTCTTAAGTCTAGACTTCATTTACTTACCCTAATTTCTGGTCACTTGTGGAAAACGTTCTGTCAGGCAGACTAAGGCTACCACGTCCACACCACACATTTACCAGCTACAGTCAGAGCACATGACTAGAAGCAGACTAGTTTTGACAGTTACAGCTAACAAACCTTAGTCATTACTTGGTGAATTGCTGACAACTATTAAATAAATCATTTTTGGTGTAGAAATTCTACTTACTCTGTATCAGCCACAATTAAAACATTTTGTATTTTTCATATTCGAGGTGAGGGAAGCCTAATCTCAGAGTATGTGAAAGTTACCCATAAAGAGTGGGTAGACTAGCTGGGTACCAGCCCAACTCTGTCTGGTCTCGGTCGCTATATTCCTTTCACAACATCCCACTGCCCTCCATGGTAACAAGGCTTGCCTTTTAACAGTTACTACAAATGTATTAACTGAGTTATTAGTAAACCTTGAGTTTTCACTTCTTCATTTTTAAGATGAAAAAATTTTTTATCTACCACTCAGGAATTAAACAGACTATATAGATTTAAAACACTAAACACAGTGCCTGGTATATCATGGGCACTGACAAATGTATGTTTTAAGTAAGTTATCTGACTTAGGGAGCAAAAGAGGAACTTTCAAAAGTTTGATATCACTGAGCCTCACATTTCCATTTGTATGATAGTCAATAGCATAACTATTAGACTAATGAAATCTGAAGGAACAGGGTTATATACTTGCTTTTAATTCTAACTTTTTGTAAACTGATAACCAAAATGCATAGATTGCAGCTATTCAGTTAAACCAACATTTCTGGAGGACGATAAGAAATAAGAGTTATTATGATGGATGATCCAATTGGCAAAGTAAACAACTTCTTAGGGAACCAGCAAATCAAGGACATTTGAGATATGAGAAATATTTCAACTATAATGAATGTTTACAAAGTTTTATAATCTGAAGATATAAAATAAATCTTTTAACATTTAATTACTCAAAATTTTGTTTTAGATTTAGTGCATTTTAAAAAAGTCAATATGGGGGAGGTGTGGATAAAGTGCATGTAGAGCATTCTAATGCTTAAGGCATTATATTAACATGGTTCTACGACTGTTCAACATTTATTAACAGAATGCTTAAAAGTTACCACTTTCAAAAATATAATATCAACTGCTTTATCCAGAATACAATGCTTCTGTCATCTTACCTGTTCAGAAAGTGTTTTCCCTCTGGCCACTCTGTCATAGTGATCTAAAAAATAATGTCTTGGTTGACACACCATAAATATGCCACTTTTGATAAGTTTATATAAGTAATTAATCACTGGTTAGAATATTTTACCTCACATGAAAGTGGTCCTAGTTTGCTTGTCTTTTAATAAAATATGTCATGTTTGGCCTCAGTGCAAGATTTTTTCCCAAATGGCTAGAAAATAAAAATGCATCATCATACAAGGTTTTGGGAAGAACATTTTATTGCTAAGCATATCCTTGAACGAAAATGCAAATATGAAAAAAAGAGAAAAGGAAAAAGAAAAAGCAGTAACATCACAACATCATAAATTAAATTCCTTAAAAGTCTGCTCATAAAACAACAGGAATATGATCGAAGCTCACATACAGAATGCACATGTTCCCATAAAATTGTCCAAATAGAAACTTACACTAAAAGGAATATGACAAATGTATTTTTACTCAAATAAAAAAATGTAAAGAAAGCAGGAAGTCAATTCACAAGACCTCAAGACTCCAAGAACAGCAATCTTTTACAGACATCGAGATATAATCAACTTCATATAGGTTGGGCCATTTAGGTTATCTAAAATCGTGCTTTGATATCTCTTTATAATTCTGTCTTTTTAAATAACAACAAAAAATCCAAAACTCTTTAACACATTGAAATATCAGATAATGAGGAACATCTCCTTCCATACATATTAGTCAAGGCTACCATTGTTTAGATTGCGCTTTTTGCCCCGTGTCGTTAAGGTATTTTTCCAAAGTCAAATAGTCATGCAACTTACAAAGACCAGCAAGAGTAGATTTCTAAACCTAAACAGCTGATTGGTTTTCATCTGTACAAAAGAAATTGGATATATCTGACCTTCCAGAGGACACACTTCATTTTTATGTGAATATTTATCTCGCTTTGTCTCTTGCTCTCTGGTTAGCTATGGCCACACAACCAGCTTATTATTTTTCTGTACATTGTTTCCTCTTTTCAAAAAGAAAGTAAGACAACAAACTGAAATGGACAGATAGAAAGGAAAGAACAGTTCTTAAAGCAGTATGTACATAGGTGGCTAAGGAAGTATACCAGCAAAAATGTAGTAAAATATGTAAACAAAATCTGAGAAGATTTTTTTTTATTCTCTTTGACACAGTTAACTGTGACAAAACTAAAACTCACACTTTCTTCACATTTTTAAGGTTTACTTTTTTGTTGTTTTGTTATTTTCTTTTAAAACAACATTCTCATTCCACTTCAAGACTTAAACAGATTTCCTGTTTCAGTCATCCGATCAAACATACCATGATAAATATATCTGTATATATATTTATTTATATATATTATACTATTAAATTCCTTTTTTTGTGTGTCACAGCAGCTTTATTCATTTATTATTTATTTATTTTTAAAAAAGATGGGTGAAGGGAGGCATGAGCGAATGGAAGGATAGAGTTATCCACGAGTGTTAGGCTACAAAATTAAAACACTATGAAAACATTGTCATATTGGGGGCAGGGGAAGAACTGTGTGTTTTGTGCTCTCATGCCCCGTTTGGCTTGTGTGACCGTTGGTGGTTCCATCACAAGTTGAACTCCTGCATTGTCTGTTTTGATTCTTTTAAGACTTTTAGTATTGTCTTTTATATTTGCATGCATTTCAATCAGTCACGATTCAGCCCACCCACCCCCTCCCCATCTCTAGGATAGGCTCTGTTGGAATTTGTGGGGCTTTCTTCTCTACCACAATTTGGCTGGGCTAATGGACAGGAATGATATTGTTAGGTAAAGCCAATAGCTCTGATAGAACCAGCCCTAACCCCAACTGTTCAGGGTTTGGGTGGCAAATTCTGGAATTAGATCCTGGGGGACCAGTTTTTCAAATCAACAGTATCATCCATTATATGGTTTTTGCTATGTGTTCAGCAAAGCATCATATAGGAAACAAACAACAGATTCTAGAAACACCACAACCTGATATGTAGGGTGAATACCATGGTAGCTTTTGAGTTCATATGGCAATAGTCTCTTTTACTTTTGTTTTCTGAGTTTTTTTTTCTTTTTCTTATGTCCAGTCATTCTCAAAAAAATAAACAAAACCCAAAAGCCATTTTTCCCCTCAGATCTTGAAAAGTTACACAACACTGGCCAGAGCCAGATAAGGGTGTTTTATTTTTTTTTTGTTTGTTTTGTTTTGTTTTTAACTTTTTTCTTTTCTTTTTTTGGTTTTTGTTTTTTACATAATTGAACAAAAAAAAAACATTGTTACAGTCAAGCTTCACAAACATCATTACAGACTCACTTGGAGTTATGGAACAAGTAAGCCATGAAGTCCTCTACCTTGGGTGAAAACGTCCTCAGGAAAAGGAAGCTTCCAGTCTGCGAAAGTGGGGGCGCCATCTGCGTACTCCAGAGCGCAAAGTGTGTGCTTTATGATACAGCAGGGCAGAAAGAACTTTCTGTCTCCGAGCGATGACTGAATCCAAGCAGCCATGGCTGAACAGTATAGGTAGGTACATCTTTGTAGGTGTCCTTAAAAATGGTTTTCCCCACCATAGTCGTGGTGTACCCCATCTCATAGTTAGAACAGTTCTGACATTGTTAAATCTCAATTGCCAAGTAGTTAGATATTTATATAGAAATAATTCTGTTTTCAATTCGTTTATGAGTAGTGTGGTCATGGTTACACGTAATACTCTTTATCCTTGTTTTTCTGTTTCTTGTGCGCGCTCTTGGAGCTCTGCTGCTTCTCCTTGATGAGCGTGCCGTTGCTCTGCGCCGAGTTGCTGATGTAGTTTCGCGACTCGTCCACTTGATAGGACCCCTCGTCCCTGTTCCTGTACTTGTACATGGCGTACAGGAGGATCAAGATGCAGAGGGCGGCAGCAGCCACAATGCCGACGACCATCCCTGTTGTACTGCTCGACTCCCGGATCACCTCTGAGGCCCCCGGAACCCGTCTGACTCCTGGCTCCGTGGGGTTTGCTGTGGGCACATTACGGAACATGGGGGAAGTAATTAGTGGGCTCTTCAGTTTGGTGCTGTCTAGCTCATAGGCAGTGGGCAACGGAAGCAAGACTATATCAGGCTGGGGTTTGAGATCACGGTTATTCATTTTGCCAGCTGGCAATTTGGGCACCATCCCAGACGAGGAGGAAGCTGTGAAGCGGATCAGCTCAGGGGACAAAGATGTGGTAGTAGTCCTACTAGTTTCGGAGACTTTGTTAGGTCTAAAGTCCTTGGATTCCCACTTGGGCGCATGTGCTTTGTAGCCACCTTCGAAGATTGAAGTGGAAAGACTCTTATCTGTTACCAAGGAGAAGGTGGTGTAAAAATCTTCATCATCAGTAGGGGGCAGGTTAGAGTCAAAGGTTTCCCCTGAGCCATACCCAGATATCACCAAGCCATCATCATCACAACCATCGCTGCCTTGGTCCGACAAGCAAGGTAACCCCGCCTCAGAGGTCATGGACAGGGAATCTTTGGTGGTCTCAATAATGGTGAGGAGGGGGCGAAAGGTAGGGGGGAGTGTAATGGAAGGTGCACGAGTAGCAATAGGAGGGGTGGCTAAAGGGTCTTCTACAAGAAGAGGGATAACTAATTCACCTCCTGGGATTGAAAAGAAAAAAGAAAACACAGTTAGTGTATTTGCAGAGAAACACAATTCATAGTCGCTCTCAGTGTACCAGGTTCAAAGGTTATGCCTCAGAAATGATAATAAAATTACCTGGATCCATATATGGACCCTGCCTGGCTGTAACCTGACCATTCCAGGTAGATTTGAAGCCCATTCTATGCCTCTTGCCACCAAAACCTGAAATCTGTAGATTGAGGGCTTATCTTTGAAAGATACTCTCAAGTAATTATTTAGATAGAATTCAAATGGGCTATTTCCAGGATCTGCTTAGGGGAAGATGATGAGTGGTTGTCAAAATCGCGTGTGTGTGTGTGTGTGTGTGTGTGTGTACCAGTACACAGCGTATGCTTTACATGAACCATATCATTTCTTTATCTTTATTATCGTCTAGGTTTCTACTTACTTGCTCCCATGAAACAAGAATGACATATTCTCATAGAGACCAAGATCAAGGAACATAAAAGACGGTCTTTGGTATTTTAAGTTACTACCTGTCATTCTTATTTGTCAAGTGTGGACTTTATTTACTGTATACTAAGTGAGGGGGACTTGCATGAGGTTAAACATGTTCATTTAACAAACCCATTTTGATTATGCATTTCTAGAAGCCCCCCTGACTGTTAAGTAACAACTTGCCTGGTATTGGTCTAATGTGTTGATGCATTGCTTTTGTACTATATGCAATATAGGATTAACAGGAAGCTAGATTTAAAAGAACTCAGCCTAGATATTCATGACATAATGGAAAGTTACTTTCATGTTCAGAAATATGGAATGTATAGAGATAGCAAAGTAAGTTTTTAAAATTGGTGATTTTTCACTAGCATGCAAAAATACATCACTTATCCACAGGGCCCAGTTTTTGCACTTATAAACATATAGACTAACTCAGGAAAGAAAGTTCAGAATAGTTCACTAAATTACAGTGCCATGCAAATTATAGGGTCAAAATTATTATCCATCTGTATAAGCAAGATAAAGACTCTTCTGTGTCTCTTAACAGTTATTTTTCAGACACTGGAAAAATCACAATAAGTTACAGTACATGTCTCTTCATTGAATTTATTCCAGAAAAACTGATTCCAACTACAATATTTGAAAATCCTCAGCAGGGATGGGGTTGCATCTGCCTGGTCCTTCTTAGTCAAGGCAGTTGAGATGCTTGCATGATCATACTGTTGAAGACCTCTTGCTTAGCAGGGTTGCTAAGCTCTCAACCAGGCATGAAGTTCTTGTATGTTCTGCTCTGTGTAGTAACCTTGTTCTGCTGAATCAGTTGCTGTTTGTGCATCTTTTTTTTTTTTTTATCAGATACGACTTTTGCTGAAGCAAATTGTCTCCTGATTAGTGACAAAGTCAGATGTGGCTCAATACTGCAAAATTTTAGGGACACTCGAGGTGAACAAGTCTTTGAGCTTACCAGGTTTCCTCAGGTTCTTCCTATAGAAACTGACCACAAATAGAACTCTTGTGCTCACCTGTCCATACCTTTTGCGTTTAAATATTTCCTGTGCATCAGTCAGAACTGCTGTACTGGAGTTACTCAGATTTCAAGTGTTTAAGGGATAGGCCTCCTTAGGAGAAAGCTATTGGATATCAGCAAAGTATCTGAGAAGAACTGCTTGTACCCATGTCTGAAGCCTTTACACCCCCCACCCTATGCCCACCCCCATTTAGGCAATATCACTACATTTTTTTGCAAAGAGAATCTGATTTGAAGAGGCCTATATCTAAATAATGTGTATCAACTGGAAGAGAAGGGGCAGTTGCATATTCTACAGTCATCTTTGGCCTTCCTGATACCTTCCTCTATGTGGGGATATAAAACAAGAGCCTGTATGAAAATCTCAAGATGATATTTTGGTCTGTGCTCTCAACGCAACTTTCTGTTCTGTTGTAGTGCTCAGAATTTGAAACTCTTGAGCAAAATGATCTTTGCAGATTGTCAAAGCTCACCCTTGCTTGACTGGTCCAGAATGCCTATTTTTTACATTGTGAACATATATAATTCATATACCTTGCAACTTATTTAATGCATAATTTACACACTTTTGCTAGCTTTTATAAATGAGATTTGGAGTAAAGTTCCCTAAGGTAAGCCAGTTCTAAAACTAACCCTGAACTAACTTTTCTTCTTCTTCTCCTAGTAGGAGGGGCTTGGGAATTGTTTAAAAGTGCTACATGGAAGAGGGCAGTGTTTGAGAAGAGGAGAGTAGTGAGGCGAGAGAGTGAAGGCCCACATAGTCTGTTTAAAGTTTCCCCAGAGATTGCTCAGGGATTATTTTAATTTCCTTCAGAGAACAAGACAGTATATTTTCATCCAGTTTACCTAGAACAGTGGATTAGTATGTGTGTTCTTTTCTGGTACAAACATGGAGTCATTTATTCTTTAGGGCCATGAAAAAGTTTACCCCACGTAGAATAAGCAGAGTGGAAGCTGGGCTAAAGGACATGGAATAATTGATTTGTTGGGAGGCAAAGGCCTGCTACAAATAAAAAGGTGTATTGTCAAGTAGGATGCCGGAAGTCCCTTTAAGTTAGATTAAGATCTCTGTCTTCATGATTACAGAATGGCATTCATTTGCAATTTTAGTGTACCATCTGTGACACCCAACTGGAGTCTTAAATTTGCCTCCTTTTCCTCTTGTTTTCAGTCTTTGCTAAAGACTCCAAGTGTCTTTGTTTTTAAAATCTACAAAATCTATAAACTGCTCACTCTTCAGTGAGTCACTCCCACTTTACTTTGCTATTCTCCTCAAACTCAACACCCTTATAAGAGTCTCTCTTGGATTACAAAACAAAAAAAAAAAGTAAAAACCATCCTTTTCATAATGGGATGAAAAGAGGGTCTGAAACTTGCCATTTTTTAAAGAGCTTCTAAAAGTTTGGTGAGTCCCTAAGGGAAATGGCAAGAGCTTATTTCAAAAGGAAATGATGGGTAAGCTATTGCAAAGTTTAAAAAACAGAATCTGTCAAAACTACTAATCTACAGTTTTCTTTGCCATTTGCTATTAATCTCACTAGCAATGATAAAAATGACAAATGATGCCACCTGTCAGAGAAATATGAACCTGAATTCTGGTGATTTTTAATCAATGAAATAGTCAAACCCCTTTACCTAGCAATTCAAGGAAGTGGACAAATGCCTTCAATGTCCATGGAAGTAGACGGGAGGGGAGGGTCCCCATGAGTCCTTTGTAGCCTACCAGTAACCACTGTCATGGCTGGACTCACCTCCATGGCTCTTACTATGACAGCTAGACCTTGAAAAACAAGAAGGCTTATTACAGGGCCAGAAGTCACTGAGCATGTTTAGGGTCACACCCTGGCCTGGAGATCCCCCTTCATTGGCAGTGGATGGGGGATTTTGTGGGTTCACACCTCATTGGTGAATTTAAAACATAAGAGGAGAAATTCAAAGTACAGGAAAAGAAAAAAAACAAGGGACCCAAATGGTGAGTTACTGAAATCAATAGGGTGGGGTGTGGGGAACAGCCTGACTCTTTATTTAATGCTGTGGTTGGCAATGTGCTTATTGGAAGCCATCTTTGAAGTGAGTGCTTGTGTCATCAAAAACTAAGGCAAGCACTTGCATTACAAAAAAGAGAAATCCCAGTCCAACTGTACTTCTATAACAATGTTTTTATGATAAATGGGAATTACAGTGAAAATAGGTGGGAAATTTTAGATAACTGTAAATATGGAGTCTGGGACAGATATGAACTGGGGTATATATTCAAGCTTAATATCAAACTCCATCATTAAGATTTAAGATAATTATAGGATCCTGGGGAGCCCAACATGGTAGTTGAAATGAGGAGGCTATTCAGAGTGTAATCCATCAAAATTCAAATTTCCTTTGCTGCCCCTGGATTTTTTCCCTTGCTTTAGAATAAAAACTATCTGTATTCCATAAAGTTAGCATTTGCACTAAAATCAGGAATATGTACCATATATATATTTTTTTAGCTAGATTGCATTTTTCTTTAAACTAGAGAGATCACTAGGGATATAAAAGGTCTATTTTAGCCCTCAAGGCTGCCCTGCTTGTTGGCCTTATTATTGTATTTATAGATATATAATTCATATGTCTGGGGCTGATACCCAGCAAAAGGGGCTCACTGTCATTGAAAAAGACAGTGCATTAAAATTTTAATAGAACTCTCTTACACATGAGGATATTGTAGGTGGTGGTGTATGTAGTGGGGCGTCTGAAAAAAACAAAGAAAAGCAGCATGAAGTTTCATTATGGCTGCAACCTTGGCTTCACTGGAGATATTTGAGAATAAGAAGTCACAGAACTGCCAACACAAGGGCAGGGAGTAGGTGTGAGACTCAGGGAGAGGACACCATGTATCAGTTCCTCAGTTTCTGCCCCTTATCTCCTATTTGCATTTTTCTAATTCTCTCTTGAGAAATTCATATATAATGAGGAGAAATCATCCTTTGATTTCATCCACCTAATTAATTGTTGGAAACAATATTCATTTCATTATTTGGTGCCACAGAGTTCCATAGCATGTAAATATCCCGGAGCTTATAATCATGACATTGTTCTACAACCACCTTCTGAAAAAATAGCCAGGGCAAATATATGGGGAGAAGACACCAGAAAAACACAGTGGCCCAAAAGGGCTTAACTTACATTTTGATGAGATGAGAATTTTCAGGTAAGACAATCCCCCCATCCCCCACCAACCCTGATTTGTCAGAAATGGGTTTGATTCTGAAAGGCTACAGACTTTAATTTTTCAATATATACCCAGGTAAGATGATCCAGAGTTCCTTGGGAACATCAAATGTTGTAAAATAAAGAGTGACAAGAATTTTTATTTGTTTATTGATTAAGAGCTTTGCCTCTGAAGTCATTCAGGCTCAACAAGCATCACAGTTTCATGGTGGATTAGCCATGAGTCTGGTCAAATTTCTTAGACTCATTGTAAAATGGAAATAATAACACAGCCTACCTCAA